CTTCCCGCAGCAAACTCGTGGTCATCACTGGGCTGGATGCAGATGTCGGGGGTGGGGGGGTGCATGGCTAAGGCCCTCAGTGACCCCTGCCATCCCAGCTTGGGAGCCCAGGCCACTTCTGGCGGTAGCTCAGTGGTTGTCACTGGGCTGGATGTGGATGTCAGGGGGACATGGCTGAGGCCCTCAACCCCCCACCCCAGATTGGGAATCCAGGGGCCTTCCAGTCCTTTAGGTTTTATAGGTATTCTTTGGTGGTGTTAGACCAGTACTGGTTAAAGTCAGAACTTTGTCTCTGACCTATGGGTTTTCTGTTTTTTTCTTTCAGTTCTTTGTTGGATTATTCACTATTCCCACCACTTAAACTCTGCACTGGAACTAATTTGTTGTCCTTTGGTTACTTCTAAAATGGAGAACTTCCTGTGGGAACCAGCACTTGAGCCCTATGGTTCAACTAAATTGCTGCTTTGCTGCTGATTCTCTGGGGAAGGCTTTTTGTGCAGTTCAGCTTTTAATTGTTGACCCTGTAAGCACTTCTGGGTCCTGTGAGTTCTGGTACAACCAGGTTGTGTGGAAACTCTGGTCTGGGCCTGAGTCTTTTCAGCAAACTATACATCCTGCAGTTCTATATTCCTGACTAGTCTTCACTGACTGGTCCTGTGCTGATTGGAGGGTAGATCAGCTGTCCATGTTGTGCCCCAGTGTCCCCCTGGTGGGCCCGTCTCCCCCACCACCCACACTCCAAAGGCTTCCCATGGGATGGGCCATGCGCTGGTCCCTTGCAATGACTCACTGGCCTCTGCATGGCTCCTCTTTTCAGTTGTTTGTGGCCCATTGCTCCTGTGTGGGTCCCAGGAACTCTGTTAGTGGACTTGCTGGCCTGGAGGCCTCCAAAGCTCTCTTCTCCCTTGCAGTCTCCAAGCAACTTCATATAAAGGGCACAGCTGAGGCTTTTGCCAGCTCTTGCTCCATGTGCTCAACAATGCAAGACTTGAAGTGGTCAGGGCTTGAAATAGTAGGAGTGGTCCTTTCTTTCTCTCATCATGGCTTCTGGCTTCATGAACCCCATAGGTCTTTCCTCCTCTTCCCTTGAGCTCTAGCAGCCCCAGCTTGGCAGTTGTTGCTTTTTAGTAGATATAAATTGGTTGATTGTGGGAGAGAGTGACACTAGGTATTCTATTCTGCCATCTTGATTGGAAGTCCTGATAGTCAACAATTTCAATCATTTCTTCTGAAGTGTATTTTAAGTATGTCACCTTAGTCAATTTCCACTGCTACTATTCAAGTGTAGACTTTCAGCTCCTCTCCCTTGGAACTTTGAAATAGGTCTCTCTTATTTCAGGTCTAATCTGCCATATGCCACCACACCATCCCTACCACACACAAACACACACAAACACACACACACAGACACACAGCCATCAGAGGATGTTTTCTTGTACACTCCTCTGCCTAAAAACCTTTAGTGATTTCCCTATTGCCTTCAGAGCAAAGCCCAAATATCTTCCCATGCCAGTTTAAGAACTGCCTCAACCTAGTTTCATCAAACCTTTTTGCCCTTACTGCCAGTCCACATTTCTCTGCCACATGTAGAGCTGATGATTCAGTTTGCTTTTCTGAATTCTTTATTGATTTTTTAAATATCCAATTCCTTCCTCGAGTTTTTTCTCTGCCTAGTGTACAACTTCCTTGGCGCCAGTCTTCCTATATACATACTCACCACATTGATTTCTTTAAGGTATGGATTAAATATTAGCACTTGTGTAAAGTCTTGCACAGTCTTTCTCACTGATCCTAAAGGAACTAATCATTCTCGCCCTTATTTTCCAATAATATTTGCTTATACTTTTATTGTATCTCTTACCACACTAAAAAAAGATACATGTGACTAAATATATCTTCCTTTTAGAATTCTTGAAGGCTAGAACCATGTTTTATCTCTGTATCCCTAGCTTTTAATCTGGTGCCTCCACATAATAGGTTGTTGGTGAATGTTTGTTGAAAGGAATATCTGCTTCAATTATAAGCTTCCTTTAGTGCTTACTGTGAAGAGTTCTGAATTTTTGTCTAAATAGTTTGCTTGTCATCTTGTCCAGGAAGTTTTCCCTAACCCTTCCCACCCCTAGTAAGTTAGGTGCTCTCTTCTGAATTTAGATGTCATAACACTTATCATGCAATATTGTAATTCTCTGCATGTATTATTATAAGGTGCTCCTTGAGACAGCATAGACTGTATCTTTCATACAGGTCCAAGATAGTGTGACAGTTAGTAGGGGATTTATAAATGTTTGTTGAATGATAACAGGAATAAACAAATGAATGCAATAAAGAGCCAAACTAGAATCACATTTTTTTTTAGCTATTTTAAAAATTATAAATAAATAGCTTCTCTGGATTCAAAGAATTTTAGGGCAGCCATGACCGATACCAAGAGATTATTTATTCTCATCAGCAGGCATTAATGAAGAAAAGATTGTTTATATTATTTTTTAGAAAAAGCTTTTCCTAACCTGTTAGATGGCTGATATGAAAATGTGGAGAGATTGGGAGTTCCTTATACATAATTAAGTAGCTCATTCTTGCAGATACTTCAATAATTCATATTTGAAATATACTTTTTTCAACAAAATTGGCTTTTTAGATACCTCCCTTGGAAGATGAGTGGTTGTAGGATTTTGTTTTCTGGGATTTTAAGAGATTTGGGGACTCTATACTTTGTGAAGGGAAAATGAATAATGAGTTATGGAGACATTGGAGGAAATTAAAATCACAACTGTATCTTAGTATGAAGAATAAGTTCCTATTGTTATGGAAAAGGGCTATTTGGTTGAAAGCTAGATTTGGAGAAAGAGGGTAGATATGGGACAGTAAGGTAAAAGTGGTAAGAAAAGAAAGAAGTATATATGAGTATAAAGCATTCCCTTTTTTCTCTCCCCTATGTCTCAACTCACCTGATGCCTCTCAAAGGGAGGAGTGAGTACTAGGCAAGGCTAAATGAAGGCTGAGATGATAGCTTAGCTGGTAGAGGATGTGAGAAGGTTTATCATACTGGTCCTTTTCTCCTTCCACTTGCCTGTGAACCTGTCTAGGCATTGTAAAGAAACAAGGTACACTTACCTTGTAAATCTTGAACCTTTACCTGCTTAAGACTAAACCTCAAAGTTAAAGGAAACTTCATGCTTCAGATATTTGATTGCCTGAAACATAGAGGGAATTTAAGCACAGTTGTCCTAATAAAGGTGTTATTTTGTAAAGGAGGACCCCCTCACTGTTTTGAAAGGAGAAAGCGTTTTGAATTTTTAAGTTGTTGAATAGCTTAAACCAGGAGGAGATCTTGGCTCTACAGAACAAAATACTAAGGGAGAATTAGGATTGTGTGTGGAACCAGGCTTCTGTGAGAAATATGAGTGGTGGTAGTGGTAGAGTCAGAATAGCGGGTAAGTAGTTTAAGGCAAGGACCATTCATTCATTTATTCATCTAACAAGTGTATCTTCATTTTCTATTCAAAGCATTGAAAAGACAGTCTTAAAGATGAGAGGGAAAATATGATTTGGGGCATGCTGGATATGCTGAAGGCAGAAATGCTGAGTATACTGAGTCAAATGGAGTGAATATCTTATCTTCCCGATTTGGAACTGTTAGACTCACTATGTCAGTACTTTTAAAAATTGTTCCACAAAGTTTTGAGGTCCTTCAGACTTATCCCAGCTGTCAAACAGATAATGTGGAAGAAACAGCCAAATCCAAGAGCGTTATTTTCCCCATTGCCCTCTCACAGCATCAACCCCAGTAGCCCTACTTTTATCTATTGTATGAATTGTAATTCTGTGTAACATTTTGTTTCAGCCTGGGGGAGGTAACCCTGTGAAAAGAAGTTAAAAAACCACTGATGAGAGATCTCTAAGATCCCTTCCAGCTTTAATATCTGACATTCAATAACTGGCTGACCTCTAACATCCCCCCTAGCTAAATTTTATAAGACTTTGGTTCTGTTTCTCTTAATGCTTTTCTGGCACTTATTTATCTCAAAGTTAGGCTCCTCTGCATAGACTGAAGGATCAAATAGTTTCCCCGTTTTCATAACTTAAGTATAAAGAGCCATATTTTAAAAGATAGAAATTTCGTTTATTAAATAGCCTTGTAGACTTTATTGAACATAAGTCAGAGAGGCAGTTAGCCAGAAACCTTGCTTGGACCCTCTTCTCACCTAAGGTGTGAATATTTGTCAGTACTCACGACCTACTTCAAATATTCTTAATCTCAGTATTTTTGAATCCTATTCTAACCTAGAGAATAGCAGCCTAGTTTATATTTTGAAGCTGATGTTTTTACTACCTTCAACTTCAACGGATGTTGCTGAAAACAAAATAAACAGCATGTTTATCTATCAGTGCCTAGCATGTAGTAAATTCTTAATATATGTTTATTGAATTAAATCATCATTCTTACATTTTATATTTAATAGCCTTTAGTTTTATAAGGAACTTATATATATAGTTTATTTCATGTTATCATCCAATAACACTGTGAAGATTAGCGTACCATATTTCACTAATGAGAAATTTGGGAACCACTACAGTAAAAAAATTGCAAGTTTGAAAACGCTACCATTGCTTCTACCCACCAAATATGGATTAATGTGAGCTTTTTGAGAGACTCATAGCTTACCTTCTCTGATGTCTCCAGTTTTCCCATATCCTCATTTATTGAGCACTTAATCATATACTATAGGCTGAGGATAAAACAGAGAAAATTTTTTTGTCTTCACTGAGTTTATAAGCATCCTTCATTTTCTCTCACTGGTCCAACCTTTGGTCTACAGGTATCATAGCAGGTTTAGAAATATATGTAAGCCTTAAAATGAAAAATATTAAGCCTAGCAAGTAACTTCTTATTTATTAAGGCTTTCATAACCCTAATGTCCTATTGTGATTACATAATATACTTTAGAATTTGATATGCTGAAGTCAATAGGAAACTAATCAGGACTTTCCTTAAATAGCAAAGCACCGATGTTCATATGGTTAGTGATAGTGATGGAGATGACTTCGAAGATGCTACAGAATTTGGGGTGGATGATGGAGAAGTATTCGGCATGGCGTCCTCTGCCCTGAGAAAATCTCCAATGAGTGAGTATTAATAGCTCTTTGGGTCCAGCATTGCACAAGGGAGCTTCTTGTACACAAACTTATGAAGAACAGTGAACTTAATCTCTCACTGACCTTCAGGTTTAGAGATATATAATATAGTGAGTGGGCATTCTTCATTAGAACCAAGCCTTTTGAATTTTGATTTTATTAAGCCCCCAAATTCCCAACACATTAGTAAAATTAATTTAAAAAAATACAAGGAATGTAACTTTTGTTTCACATGTATAATTAGTTATGACTCTTTACTTTAAACCTAGAAATTGATTAACAAACTGTATTTTCTGTGACTGGTACTTGTTTCCTCACGTCTTATCAAAGGTAACAGTTTTAAGAATACTAATATTACTTTCCCATTCACTGGTATCCATCTTTGGAAGGAAAAAAGTAGACTAAATGTGCCATTTCTCTCACTTCCACTTATGAAATGTATACTGTAGAATAACAAGCAGTGAATGCTATATGCAAAATGACCACTAAAATAAGTCCTTAAATGGCTCATTTACTCTATAAAATTAGGGAACTCCTGTGAGCAGAAATAAATGTGATATTTACATAAAGCTGACTATTTCCCAACTTTAATAAGGTCTTTAAAATAATTTCAGACACTTTTTATATGATTTAATCACAAGATGTCTATTTCAAGGAAACATTGAGATCCTAATTGATGACTGGCACATTTTTTAAATGCTTAGCAGAATTGTGTCAGTTGGTTTTCCAAAATTTATGAGCTTGAAATATTTTTAAGGTTCTTTTTGATTCTAGTTTGATGAAATCTTCTAATGTACACTGAGTTAAAATGACTCCTCAGATATATCACAGAAGCTAAAATTTAATTTTATTTCCTCTTTATTGATTAAATATATTTCTTATATGTGGGATTAGATGTTATGTGGTTTGTTTTTTGTGTCTATTTGTTTTGTTTTTTTTGTTTTTGTTTTTTCTTTTGTTTGTTTTTTAGTGCCAGAAAACGCAGAAAATGAAGGAGATGCCTTATTACAATTTACAGCAGAGTTTTCTTCAAGGTAGGGTTAGGACATTAACTATATAAAGTTGATGCTTTTTTATGCTACTCTGATTTTTCTGGAGCAATTTTAATCATAGATTGTTTAAAATTTCTCCTTAAAGTATTCAAAGGATACATTTATCAATTTATACAGTCCTGATAGTGAAATATACTGCTCAGTGTGAGATAATGAGCAAACCATTTATGCCATTTATGAGATGTATTCAACATAACCATTTATGTCAATGACATAACCGTTTATGCCATTTCTGAGATGTATTCAACTTATCTCTGTTTGTTTATAGAAGTTCAAAAAATGGATTACTAATTTAATATCTTGATTATATTTCCAAAGGACTGGAATGTAGAATACTAATTTTTATTATATCCTAGGACAGATAAACAAAAAATCTTTTAAAGTAATGTTAAATAAAAAGATAATTAAGAATTTTAAATGTAAGTGAATTTTTTTCTTTTAATTTTTATTTTGGAATTGTTTAGCATTTCTTCTCTTATGAGTCTAATATGAAATGTTTTATATGCATGTGAGAGTCTGCTGAGGCATTTAAATATGAAAAGTATTGATATTTAACCCTTGATTTTGGTGTAAATGATATTTCTCTTTAGTGCTATTTTCTGATGTAATATAACATGGAAACTTTGCAGGAAACCCTGCAAAGGGTTTTTCCCTTTTTCCCTGTTTTTTCCCATTTTTTTCCCCTCTGTGTTGGAATTCCAGAATAAATGAATAAAATGGAAAGTTAAAGCTAATGTAACTAGGAAAATTTTATGAAAGTGAGTAACCAAGAATTGGTCCTTATAAATGGCCTGGTATCATAGCACTTATTACGTCCATTTGCTAGGTGTAATTAAAATTCCAGTGTTCCAACGTATCAGTATAGGCCAAGAAGTGTAAAAACTAATGGAGCTCATTTCCAAGCTTTTAAAGAAATGTTTTAATGTTTGATCTGTACTAGACAATAGCTGCAACATTTACTTAAAAGTTATTGGTTAGACTTGTGAAACTTTGAAGTGAATTTGAAATATATTTTAATTAATAGACTCAATTTTTCCTATAGATATGGTGACTGCCATCCTGTATTTTTTATTGGCTCATTAGAAGCTGCTTTTCAAGAGGCCTTCTATGTGAGAGCCCGAGATGTAAGTGCAATCTTCCTTTTCATGATTAAAAGTACATCCTCTTTTACTTCTCTCACATTGGTCATACCCTCTCCCTTAGTAAAGGGTTCATGTGAAGCCCTCTGCTTATCTCTTATTGTTGGACTTAACAGATTGTTTATAATTGTACATTCTATGTACATCTTCCCAAGAGATTTGATTTTCTTTTGGCAGGGCATGGGTCCCTTACATCTCTGCACATAGTAGATACACAATAAATGTTTAATGAATTGAAGGAAAATAGAAAGGGAGGAAAAATACTGTGCAGATGAAGTAGAGGGGAAAGCTATTAGAATTAAAGAGGACAGGAATTTTGAGAACAGCAGATGAAGTAGAGGGGAAAGCTATTAGAATTAAAGAGGACAGGAATTTTGAGAACACAGGGCAAGGATGCCTGAGATTTTTAGTTTGTAGTTTATGTTAAATTCTGACATAAACAAAAATATATTTTATAACAAATTTTAAAAATTGAATTCCAAGACGATAATTAGTAATCAAACTGTTGTTGGCCAGTTAGCTCAGCTGGTTAGAGCACAGCTTTATAACACTAAAGTCATGGGTTCAGATCCCCGTACTGCCAGCTGCAGAGGAAAAAAACTAAAAAATTAAAAAAATACAAACTTAGAGCTATCATTGATAGTTTAATGAAGCAGATTAAGAAACAAACTGTTTTTTACCTTAAGAACAGCAGAATAGCCCTTTAAAGGCTGCTTTAAGCACTTTTTGTAACTATTAAATCTATATAAAATGGCTATTATTTTTGAAGAAATGCATGTTTATGGTAATATATGTTTATGATTTCCATAAATACAGGTTTGTGGAAAATACTGAAAAGGAAAGAGAGAAGTATTATAACACAGATTTACTATTAACTTTGTGATAAATGTTCTTTCCATATTTTTTATTATATATTTAGATGAGTATTTTTATGGATGTTTAGTATAAAATGGAGTCATGTTATAATCCTATTATAACAGCTTTTTTAACCTTTGAATAGTGTATGATCATTTTCTTAAGTATATATTCTTTTATAGTATTTTAACTTTTTATTAAAAAAATTTAATACAGAAAAAGCATAGAATAGTACATTAAATATCCAAATCCCCCATACCTAGATTCAATAATTATGAAAATTTTGCCTTATTTGCTTCTTCCATATACAGGCAACCCAAAATCTTAATGGAGTTTTAAGACTTAGTGACTTCAAAACTTTAATTGCTACAAACTGACAAAAGGGCAGTATTTGAAATTTAGGTATTTACATTTTTTATACTTATTTGGGTTTGTGATTGTATTGAATCCATTTTTATGATAAATTTTTGTTTTAGTTCCTCTCTGAAAATGGCAAACGTTGACTGGAACAGAAAATAAAGGAAAATTTTATTATTCAGATTCACAAAAAGCAGATAAATATAAATAAAGTTTCAAAAAAATTTTAAGTTTTGGTAGTTAAGCTTTGAAGTTATTAAAACTTACTGCACGAAATCATTTAGGATGCCCTATACATTATTTTTTGCTAAATCATTTTAAAGTAGACATCATACTTTACCCCTAAAAATTTCATCATGCTGATTTTCCAGAAATAATGATATTCTCCTACATAATCACAATACCATTTTCACATGTAACAAAATAACAATAATTCCCTAATTTTATCTAATAACTGGTGCATATTCAAACTTCACCAGTTGTCCCCAGAATGTCTGTTTAGCTGTTTTTTTGAAACCACAGCCCACTCAAGGATCACTCATTACATTTGAGCATTAGATTTCTTAAATCCGTATTAAATAAGCACCATCTCTCTCTCTTTTTTCATGACATTTCCTTTGTGAAGAAATCAAGCCAGATGACTTGTAGATCGTTCCAAGTTCTGAATATGTGTTATTGTTTCCTTGTGATATCTTTTGGGTTATTCCTCTATCTCTGTATTTCCTGAAAAATGGATATTAGATGTAAAAGCTTTGTTAAATTCACGTAAAATGGTTTTTGCAAGAATGCTTTGTAAGTAATGCTGAATACTTTATTGTAACAGGATTTTTAATGTTTGCAGAATCTTTCATTGTATGACTATATTATTATATCTAAACAATCACTTATTATTGGACATAAATATGTTTGTAAGAGTATCTAATGATAGCTTTAAAATAATCTATTTTTCAACTCATTTCTCGATAAGAGTGTATTTAGGATATATCTGTCTCTGCTTCCCAGCAAGATTGCTAAGCAGTTGAAGGAACCATAAAATGTGAGGGCCTTTTGTAATTTAAACTGTAGCTCCCAAAATAGGCATAGATACTTTAAAAATCCTATTTCAAAGCTTCTATAAGATATGCTATGTATATCTCACACATTATAGCTTTAAATACAGATACTTATACTTAAATATACAGTATATTACAGACAAAAGAACTTTTACTAAGTATTTTGTATAGTCAGATTGATAATCCCAAAAGGAACGTAAACTCTTGTTTATTAACTCCCAGATATATCTAATGAAAAAATTGTTTGCTTTTGATTAATGACTAGGTATGTTTTAGCAGATGAAATCATTGGTTCATGTAACTGAATGTTTTGCTTCATATTAGATTTGTATCAAAATCCACTAACCTCTCTGGATAGCTGAAATATCTTTATTTTTCTCCCCATGTCTAGGGCTTTTTTCTTTCTCATTTCTCTTTTCCATGTTAGAGATAAACAGTTTATGCATAGTTTATTACAGTTCTCTAAACTTAAGTAAAATTTAATCCATGATAGATAAATTATTCAAAATGAAATCTAAGCAGGTACATTTATTATAGTCATCAATGGGATTTTGTACCTCTCCCTTTTAATTGTGTAAATGTAGTAATAGTAATTCTACATGATTTATATGATGCTCTATGGTTTTTCTACATTTTCATATATATATATATATGTTTATATATATCTCATTTGAACCCCATAACAAACCAGTGAGATAGGAAAATATAACATCCATATTCCCACTTTAGAGATGAGAAAGCTCAGAAAAGCTACATGACTGGCCCAAAGACACATCAATAGTAAGTAATAGAGGCCAAATAAGAGCTCATGTGTTCTAACACAGGAAAGTACAGTTTACACTATACCACCACACTTAGTTTTCAGTGCTGTTGTACTGCAGGATTCAATTACCAAACTTTTCTATGCTTTTCAGATTTCACATTCGAAAGTTAAAACAAATCTCATTCAATATTATTTTTTGAGACTTCTGAATGAACAATTTTTAACGAAACAATTTGCTGATGTTCAAACATTTTAAGGTGAATGTGACCGATACTGTAGCGCTCTTACTAAATTTCTTTCATCTTAAATATCACATGTTTAATTTAAACTGTTGGAGGCACATTAATTTTACCGGGGCAACAGATGAGCCTCAGACACCAGCATTCTTCACTTGAAGTGAGAAATTGAGTTCCAAGAGTAAATAAAAACAAGATTGAAGGTTTAAATCCTCTGCTAGGCTTTTTGAACTTATATACTCATTAAATGTTTATTGGAGTGGTGGGATTACAAAGGATTTGGGGAGCTTCATCAACTGGTATATAGTTAATCACTAAGTAAAACACTACATTTGATAAAGTGTTTCTCACGATGCCACATTCAATCCATCTTAATGAAAACTGCTTCAAACTGATTTCATTTGAGAGCACTTGGTGATGAGAGTGCTCATAGTTCTTTCTGCCTTTTTCTTGAGGAATTTACAATACAGTGCAAAGCAAAGCTCCAACTTCAGTAAAGCAGGTATTCTAAGTTCTTATGTTTCTTTCATCATGACAAAGTATTGACTTCTGATAACACTGATCAGTTTTATAATCTCCTTCTTTGCCCTTAACAATGAAGAATGCTTATTCCGTTGGGGGCTATAAATATTTATCACTTGCCCATTAAGGATCTGGGATATAGAGGTTTTCTGCCTTTGATAAACTCACAGTACAGAGAGGAAGATAAGACAATATAAACAGATTCATATAGTATAATATACTATAGAAGCAAAGAGGAGAGGTACTTCATCAGCCTTAAAAGTTCAGGAGGAAGATTTCTAGAGGAGGTAACTCTGATTTGAATCTTAAAAGATGAGAAATACTTAGGCGAATAAAAGAATTCTAAGCAGAAGCAAGGTCAGAAGTAAAGGCAATGGAAGATTAAAATGAGGGAACTAATCAGCCTTAAAAGTTCAGGAGGAAGATTTCTAGAGGAGGTAACTCTGATTTGAATCTTAAAAGATGAGAAATACTTAGGCGAATAACAGAATTCTAAGCAGAAGCAAGGTCAGAAGTAAAGGCAATGGAAGATTAAAATGAGGGAACTACAACCAGTTTGGTGTTACTGGAACAAAAAAATGTAGGTCAGAGAGTTGTATTGCAAGGCATGAGGCTAGGAAGATCAGTGGGGGATGAGGCGTAGAGGGAGCTGTGATTCCCTGGCATTTAAAAGATATTTTTATCTTTACATAAGTGAGAGCCAATGGTTAGCTTCCTTAAGGTTGCAGAAGAGTTACCAGTGGCCATACCATGATTTCCTGAGAGTTTCTTAAGGATTGTTTTTCTCCTTATAGCCTCCCCACTGCTTGCTGCCCCTGAATTCTCTTCTATACAACAAAATGTATCTCAGAAAATGATTAGACATTTGTAGTCACTACAAATCAACAGCAATAAAATTCCAGGGCCAGGGATTATCTCCCATATGAAGGATTGTTCCTTTTCTAAGCTTCACCTTGTAATACTGGGCTTTGATATTAGTAATCCTTTTATAGCTCTGTAGATCTGACTTCAGACCCAGTGTTTTTTCCAAATATTATACATAAATTAAGGAAAAGAGTGCTCATTTCCTGATTTCCTACTTGTGGCTCTGTGGCTCCAAACAACTAATGAGCCTGTTTATAATCTAAAAAAAAAAAAAAAAAAAAAAAGATGATGATAATATCTACTTTTGATGGTTGTTTTGAGGATTAAATGGGATGC